GGGGGGGGAGGTTTGATCGATAGCCAATAACCGTGGGATAAAACGCCCACCCGCCATCGCTGTCCGGAGGGAGTTTAGCGTCTCACGAGAGAGCTGACGGTCGGCGACCCGTTCGGACTTTGTACTACTTTTCCTTCGGAAACAACACAACGTCCCCGTTCCTTTCCCCAACTATTCCGACTTGTGATCACGCCCAGGCCGTCTGACTTGTCAGACGCTGATTCGAGACTGGGGAGTTTACAGCCTGGGAAAGGTGTGAAGAGCCATTATTATTAGAAGTGTCACGAGTTTAAGAAGACCTTCAGTTAGCAAGGATAATTTTCTCGTGAAAGCTCCCAAAATCATGGCAGCAGCTCAACTTCCCACGGGTAGTATACCTACAGGGCTACCAACAAATGAGGAAGTCCAGGAATATGAGAAAATCCTGAAAATAAGTGACGAAATATTTACTGGAACTCACCCTAGATTGAAAGTTCCCCAGCAGTTTGTGCGCAAACCCGCGTCGCGCAATCCCCCTACCTCCACCCAAGCCCAGGTAAAAACGAGTGAACGGCCTGGGTCTTCCACATGGAATGCACCTCAGCCGTTTCCAACACCTTCAAAACCTACAGGCGCACTAAGTACAAATGCCAGTGACGGTCTGTCTAGCGCGACCGCTCCCTCGCGTATTGTACCGAGACCTATTTCTGAAATTGATCCTATCTTCCTGACCAAGTCGGATGATCTAGTCAGAGCAGAACTACAATTACAGCGTCAAAGGGTGGAAAGGGCTTTGCGGGAACAACTTGAGCAGAAGAGACAAGAGTCAAGGCAAAAAGCCTCTATACAGGACGCAAAGCCTGACTTCGATGTTTCTGATGTTTTAAATAAGGCCTTTGAGATAGTCAAGCCGTCCCCCTCAGTTGATGGCCGTGGTGCTGGAGAGCCTAGTGACTCCGAGAATTCGTTCTACTCTAGTAGAGCCCCTGACTCTCCGCAGCAGGGCGATCAACAGAAACCGTCACCTGCACCTCCCTCTAATTCCGATGAGCCTGCTACTGAGGCTCCAGCAGAGAATTATTCAGATGAGTTGCAACGGCTTGAAGCCCTCAACCGCACTGAATCGGATCAGGATATGCAAGATACTTACCCGGTTGCAGACCACGGAATACCCTACCAGAAACAGCCGCGCCCTGCTGCGGCAGACTCCGCCGCTCACAAATACCAAGAAGTTCAGCCAACAGACTCGTTCGAAGAGCCGGAGTATTCGCCGCCAGCCCCAGGTGTGGCCCCGATGGAGAGAGGGGAGAATCATGATCATCAGCGAGGTTACTACCCCAACGGGCCGAGGAGGCGAGGTCCAGACGCTCGTCAGCCCGACCGCCCCCGTTATACCCCCGGGTCGAACTCGCCTAGAGACGATGTAAGGGTTGTGCGTAACCATATAACGTCCCCAGCAGCTCCACGGCCTTCCAGGGTTTCTCCCTTGGCCAATGCCAAAGTTCCCTCCGTTTATCAGCACAAAGAGCCACGTCCAGTGTACGGTGCGGAACATCAGGCAAGTCCCGATGCTCCACCCCAACAATTGATGCCTAGAAAGCGCAGAAGGTTGCATGAGGAAAGAGACCGGTCTCGCGCGGTCGCATATAGAATGCAAACTGGAGTTCCTGATGGCACTTACATCAAAGAGGAGCCAGTTTCGCCGCCACCGTTCACAGACACTTCCCCAGCATACCGTAGTCGTCCGGCTCAAGAAAGACCAATCTACATTGATATCGCATCTCCCCGCTACACGCCGGTAATTGAAAGGAGAGAGCCCCCAATGAGAGACCCTGCATATGATGTAGATGCTTATGATATCCGTGGCGATTCCGGGATGCCGCGAACCGTTTCGCGGCTGAGTACCAGAAGGCCAATTCGTGATGACCAAGATCTGCGGAGAGTTGCGAGTCTCCATCAAGCTCGGCAACCTGAATATTCTCGTGAATATGTTGACCAAGCTAGTCCCCATACTATGCGAGCTTCGTCCTACGCTGTTGTTGAGCGGCCCCCACCCAGGTATTATGACGAGATCACGACCCCTCCCGCGCGACGCTATATCCCAGTGGGAGATTCCCCGACCTCGCCACGATATCAAGAGACATACTATGATGAGGAACCTCCAAACCGTATTATGGCGCCTCCAACACGGAGAATCGTGGTTGATGAGCAGGGAAATCAGTACTACGAAACTGTGCCTGCGCCGAGGATGCAAGCAATGCCTCCCCCAACCAGTCGAATGCCGGTACAAAGAAATGAGGTCTACGACGACCATCCGCCAGTACGCTATACGAGTGTTCGGGCCCCATCTGTCGTTGAAGATCCGTACGGTGGCCGGAGGTACGTGCAGGATATGCCACCTCCGCAAAGTACTTATCGACGGGTCACCGACTACGCTCGCCCAGCCCCGAGTGAGCGTCGGCCTTATGTAGCACCATTTGATGAGCGAGAACCACTGCCACGCAGCGCCAGTGTCCAGGTGACTGACTACTCTATGCGACGCCCGCATTATATTGAAGAGGCCGAAGTTCCACGCGAGAGGATCATCCGAGTGCCAAGCGTACGACCACCAACCGCTCGGTACGACGAACCGCGGGAGGTCATTCAGCGAGTAGAGAGTGTCCGGCCAGCTGGCAGGGATGTGAGCATATATATGGACGATGATCCCCGACGGCCCAGAGAATATATTGAGCGGCCCGTCTATCTTTCTACGCGACCTGTGGCTAGAGAAGAACATTACTACGACAACGGCGAACCCGAGAGGGTGGTGCTTGATGGCGGAGTCCATCGAGTTCCTCAGCGCTATTAAAGGTGAAGCCTTCTCCAGTATGAACGCATGATTATTTAAAAGCTTTTCTTTTCGCGACATATGTTTGCAGTAATTATCCATGTACAGAGTACGGTCTTTCTAATATTCAAGCGGAGCATTGACGCTTCTTTTTCTTGTACATTCGATTCGTCTTAGAGTGACAGGGCTGACAGCGAAGACAACCTGAACTCGCATTGAAAACACCACCACATAGAAAACAGCTTAATAATGTGAAGTATTCAGACGTGGATATTCATCTTTCTGTAAAAATTTGGATAGCCTGATATCTACAGTTACCTGCCTAAGTGCTGTGTAACACGGGGGTTACGCTAGTCATTATATACTGCTAATTGTATCAACGAATTAAATCAAAGCCCAATAATAGTCATCATCGCACACTGCACATTCAGTCCATGTCTACTAGTAGTACGACAGGGTAAAAAAGACAACCAAATCTCCAGCTAATAAGCAGGCATAAAAGCGGTGGGGACGGCGGTCAGCAGCACATAGAAAGCGACGACAAGGCAGAGTAGTGGTCAGACAGTTCTTCACCTTCGGTGGAGAATCAAAGTTAAGCTCTTCGGACGATACATGTATGTAAACCATCCCTAACTTTACCCATGACATGCGCCGAACAGAAGCTTTATACTAACTAGTATATAAATGGCACCTAGCTAGTCATGTATCTTTGCATGTTTAAAAAAAAAAAAAAATAACACCCACCGAGCCCCTCGACCTGTGCGACATATGACCAAGGCCTTGTCTACTACTACTACTGCTTAGTAGTATCTTTATTCGCTCATGCAGTGGGTTCAGTAAGATCGGCTGCTTCCGGAAACCGGTTCCAGACTCGATGTACCTACGAGTGCCTTGTTTTTGCGGCTGCTAAGGTATGTATATATTCAAGGCAGGGTTTAGAATAATTAGTACTACTGTACACGGTGGTACTCGCGGTATGCACCCTGTTGAGGGAGTACCTTTGTCCTAAATATTAGCATGGGCGTTGGTACACGGCATATTTAGTAGTGTGTGTATACTTGTATATATTTGACAGGATTGTACTGCATATGTAGTGCTTAAGGCGGGGGCATGAGAATGGTATATATAATCAATCCATTCGTTGAGATCGCGCGTGATACGGGGACAAAGGTACTGCAAATATGTATCTCCGGTGCTTGTTCAGGGGGTCTTACCTGTTGGTCTTATCTCTTGTGCTTTGTCCTACCTGAATGGGTAAGGTATGTAAGGTAGTGGTGGTAAATTTACGTACTTTGTTCTTGTGCTACGACGCTTTTGAGGTGATGAAGTCACTGACCTTTGACCCACTCCGTGACGTCGTTGGGAGATCTTGTCTTAAAATCGGTCTTTTTCTTGGTCTACGTGGTTTCTGCTGGGTATGTTATTGTGTTTATCTTTTGGTGGGGAAAGTGAGAGTTCAATTAATTGTTTTTAGTTAAGAGAAAGATATCAAGAATCCTAGGTAGCTCTGAGGGAGGGATCAAGTGATTAAAGTTCATTCCTGCCTGAGGCTGAATGGTGGAAGTCCCATTCAGGAAAGGATTCAGGACGCCAGATCGGGTAGCAGGGTAGCATGATGGAGGTGGTTCCTTTGACCCTATCACGACCGTTGATCTTTGAGTTTATTACGAGAACTCAATCATCGGATTTCACGGATGCAATTGGCACGCACTCCAGTCTATTATCTCACGGCTGTCGGCGACTGCACTCCATCCGGGGTAGTGTTGTATGTATTACTTACTAGTGAGGTACATACACACTTTCCATTTTCTTTAGCTGGGGGATGTGAGGTCAGGTGGTGTTGCTGTGTGTACTACTAGGACTCGAAGTATCAACGATTACCGACATACATACATGCATTTGCCACACTTCCGTTAGAAAGGAAAAGTGGCCAGAGAACATACCAATCACTTGCCGATTCCCAGGTAACGGGACGGAAGTACATCCACAGTGCATTAGTGGCATTTGGGCAACAGCAATGTGATAATGGAGGGCCCCCTCCCCTCCCCTCCCCTTCGTTAGTGTGCGATATGGTGTGAGGGGGGTTTTGAGAGATACCTAACTAAAACTACTAGTAGTCGAGAGTGATAGTCCCTAAGCGGTACTCCATCCATTGAGATCTCCTTCTGAGATTAAGGGTGGTGTGGCACTGGACTTGACCTTTTGTAGGGCCCCGAAAGTGAACCATGAGCGCAAGCACCAAGCATGGACCTGGTTTCATCGTGGGACATTCCGGCCTTGCGTCACCTGTGTATCATCACTTCTCCGCTTCGGAAGTGTGGGAAAGGGAGACCGACATGACTATTGTTTACTCTGATTACTATGGGGTGTTGTCCATTGGGTTTCATGAATGATCCATGGTTTTTCATTTTCGCCTTGGAGCCTTTCTGGGAGACATGACGATCCTTTAATCAGGGATCAGCAGAATTGATGCCAATGCCAGGCGTTAGGCAGGTATATTTACAGAGTTACGGTTGCTTCCCTCCAACGTCCACAGGGGGGTGTCACCGAACTAGCCGAAACCCCAAAAAAAGAAAAAAAGTTTGCCTATAAATGTCATGTAGAGTTTCGTTGTGCAGAGTAAAAGGCGGTGCCGGGTTCGACCTTAAAAAAAGAGAGAGAGAGAGGGGGGGGAAGCCCGTTATGCCTTTTCTCTGCAGGGAGGATCCAAGCCATTGGGCTGTCCTTGCAAAGGTACGGATCCTGTCAGTGTCAGTGCAGCGATGGGTCTTTGGAGACACCACAATACCGGGCTCTGGTCTAGTTCAAAGTCGTGACGGAATCGTCCGGTTGTTGATGCTCGACTTTACCGTACGCGCCGGTATTACCGCACCACACGTGAGAAAGGATTCTCGCTTGCGGGTCCCAAAAAGGAAAAACACGAGTGGGCCTTGCCCGTGCAGGGACTGTGATGAACGCAGTGGAAATATCGATTCCAGTGTGTGTGTGTGTGTGTGTGTGTGCCACCGGAAGCCATGGGAGGGCATCCAAAGGTGGAGAGGATAGGGTGGCTTCAAGTGCTTCTCATTTCTTTTTCTTCTCGTGAAGAAAGTCGGGTTTGACCTCGAGCGGGGAGAAGCTTTTGTTCAAGGAAGGGAGGAGGAGGGGGGGGGAGAGCATAATTGAGTCATGCTGGAGCAAGCTCTGCTTGAAGAATGTTGCCTGACAATAGGACATTCATTCAAGGTGTAACCGACATACCATTATTCAAATCCAAAATGTTAATTCGAATCATGTTAAGTTCTGTATTAAAGTCGTCTGGAAAATTCATCGCGACGTGCTAATAAGGCCAATTGGTCTTGGATCTTAATTACGATACGGTTAGTTTAGGTCAGTACTACCAGTTAGTGAGCGTTCTGTCCTATAGTTAGTCTGGTGGGAGGGTGGAAGTCACTAGTCCGCTGCAAACATTGGGGGCCTAGACGCCGACTTTGGGCTGAGGTTGACCCGCATATCCCGCTTTGAAAAGAGAGAAGCACGTCGAACTTCGTTATCTTCAGAAGAAGAGGAAAAAAAGAGAGGGAGAGAGAGAGTGAGTACGAGGAAGAAAAATAAAAAAAAAAAAAAAAACCAAAAAGGAAAGGGAAACTTCTATTGGTATTGAAAGGGGAGGGAAAAAAGAGAGATAAAATGAATTAATGATAATCAGATTGTTTGTCTAAGAGCTGAACGGTCTGTCGAAATTCCTCCTTTCATTGTACCTGAGGTTATAATGGTGGTGAACTTTTTTTTTTTTTTTTTTTGATTTTTTAACCACACTAAACAAACCTACCTTGAGTCTCCGAACTAACTCACATACACAATTATACCTGTACTTCTTCTTTCCTTTGCCCCCTCCCTCAGCTCTGTTCCCTTCATACGAGAATCTTCATTCATAAATACATACTGTACTGGGATACATCCATACAAACCAGACCATACGGGGCATCTGCTGACTCAAACCCCCACTAAACCCTTTCCTGTACCCAAGCCAATCCCAAACCTTTCGTTCATACCCATCGATCAGAGACTAATTTTATTATTATTTTCCATTATATGATTTTATTTTCTATTTTCTTATTTTTTAGTACCACTGATTATTCACTGGCAAGCCAGAACCCCTTCGCAGGAGGAGCTCGAAGTCTGACCATTGGGATCATCCGGTTTTCTTCTTCTCTTCTACTCATACCTACTTACTCATTTTCTTTCTGATTGATCTATCTCATTTTCGATTCCCTTTTCCTCCCCTTCTCTTCAGATTCTTGTTCAATTTCCCTTTTTATTTTTTTTTCCTTAGTTTCCTTTTTTTTTTTTTTTTCTTTTTTTACCCTTTTCTTCGGTTTTATGTTCCCCCTCCTTCCCCCGAACCCTCGATACCCGTTTGGTCGTTGAATTGAATCGAATCATTTTCCCAACCCATTCCGGTACCAAGACAGAAACGCCCTTGTCCGCCCACACCACCTTCGCGCGCTCATCATTCCTTTGCCCTCTTCTCTCATCCCTGTCCAGAACGGCGATCCTCACCCTTGACGCCTCTCTTCCTCTCCTGATTCACTTGCCCCTTCGTCTCATCTTCCTCTTGTTTTCTCTTTCTTTCTCTCCCACCTATCCGTCCTTCCGCCATTCTCCTCCTCGGACGCTGTTTCTCTCTTTCCCCTCGACTCGTTCAAGGGGTTAGAGATTCGAACCTGCCGCCCTTGCCATGCACAAGATCTCTAACTTTACGGGTCAAGCCCGTCATGGCTGGGAGCGAATGACGCCCACGTTTGGCATGTCCAGGCCTCACACCGATATGGCATCGCACTCGTTACGTCGACCTCATGGCGCACCACCCATGACACCGCCAACCGGCATCGATCCGACCGTCAACCTTTCTTTCAACGTGCCGTTCTCTTCGACTTTGGGTGGTCCCGATGTGGATGATGTGCTACATGCGAGCCCCGGCGCTCTGCAGCGTTGGACTTTTCCCGAAGGTACCCTCGAAGGCACACCCGTCCACAACTTACCCGTTCACACCAGCAATGTTGAGGCCTTGCGGAGATTGTGTCGCCAAATCACCGAGAGCAGTAATGGGAGAATCGAGGCAGTCGTGTTCGGTTCGGAGCCTAAGTCCGTTGCGTCCCTACAACGGCGACCTCAAGGCTTGGTGACGAACGTATGTATCACCGGGGAAGGCGAGACTGTGCGCAAAATGCGGGCCAGGATCCTGAACGAGACACCTATCCTGTTGGTACGTTCGACCTTAATTTGGTGACTATCGCTTGGAAACTCGATCCAACTTACTAATGAGATCCAATCAATAGCGCTGTGCGACCGTTGATGTCGATATGCATCTCATCATGGATGGGTCCACGAAAGGAATCCGACCGAGTGTATTAGAGCACCTTGATACCCTCTCCGCATACACCGGAACGGACATCTTCCTCTTGAGCCCCAAACTTCGAGATAACGATAGCGCGGTGGTGTCTTCTTACGGCTATGCCTCTGACAATGGGCTGGACCAACGTTTCCGAGTTTCGATTTACGGTGACATGGAGAGCGCAGAGCATGCCAAGACCAGGGTGTTGATCATGATTGATCAGATCGTAAGTTTTCTGTTTTCTTATCCACGCACTCGAAAAGAGGAAAACCTCCGAATATTAAGATTAATAATGGCTCCCTTCACCGGCATCATGCAATTATGACGACTAACCGGTTGCTAGCTTAAACGTCATGTGGACGCTATGAAGCTAGAGTTGACCATGCACACATTAGTCTGTGGTCGCACTCGCAAAAACATCAAGCTCATCGAGGCCGCCACGGGTACTGCCATTTACTTCCCGCCTCCCTTCCCTCGCATCTTTGGATACACGCCCCCAGGCGCTCATCGTCGCAGTGAAGATGAGGTCTATATCACCGGTGATACCCAAGAGCAGATTGCCCGAGCCAAGCAAAAGTTGAGGGAACTTGTCATGGGCGTCAAGATCTATGTTAAGGATGTCATTGTCAATTCTAACAAGATTGACAACATCTTGCTTGACCGTTTGGACAAAGTTCGAAAGGTGATGGAGATGAATGGCTCTTACGTTCTCTTCCCCCAACTTGGTAGCCAACGGGGTCTTGTCCGTATCCAAGGCACCGAAGTGCTGCACGTGGAGCGCACTGTTCGGGAGATCATGGCATTGGTACGTTCAAAAGCATTCATCCTGTAGGATTTTTGGTTAACTTGATTAGGCTGGTCAATTCTATAGTGCCTCGTGGTGGATTATCATGCCGGATCCTTCTCAGGGGACCTTCCGCGCTCCCTCACCCGCGGATGTTCGTACTATGCTGTCCGATATCTGTACTAACTCAGCGGCGGAAGTGAGCTTTGACAACCTAACCTTCACCATCAACGGCTCCGATGACGCCGTGAAGGCTGCTATGATGGTCGTCAACCAGATCCCATTCGTCCAGCGGAGCCAATACCAGATGCGTGTGAAAATCGAACTAGCAAACGAGCACAAAGAGTTTGTCAGTGGCAAGAAGAACGGCAAGATCAACAAGATCATGGGACAGAGTGAGTGCTGCATCGGTTCGCGCTTTGTAGCCTTGGGTTCTAACATCGAACAGGCAATGTGCAAATTATCTTCGATGGCTTCAACGAGTACAACTTTTACATTGATGTGTGCGGAAATCAGTATGAGTCTACGAAGAACGGTCTCGATCTCGTCGAGCAGGAAATGCCGGCTTCGATCTCGTTCCATGTGCCGGATCAATACCACAAGCGGATCATTGGTATCGGTGGCCAACATATTCAGCGCATCATGAAGAAATACTCGGTCTTTGTCAAGTTTTCCAACGCTATGGATCGCGGTGGTATGGGCAAGGAGGATGACGACATCAAGGTTGACAATGTCATCTGCCGCACGCCAGCCCGTAACGCACAGAGTTTGGATCTCGTCAAGCAGGAGATCATGGACATGGTCGAAAAGGTCGACGCAGAATATGTCTCTGAGCGTGTTGTGATCAACCGCCTCTACCACCGTGAACTCCTCGCTCGCATGACGGAAATCGATGAGCTTGAAAAGAAGTGGAACTGCAAGATCGAGTTCCCCAGCACCGAACTTGCCAGTGATGTGGTGACCATCTCAGGGCCTGAATACCAAGTTCCGCAAGCCGTTGATGCTTTGCTTGGAATGGTCCCGGAGAGCCATGAGCTCCTTTTCCAAAGCTCTCACGAGCTTCGCGAGTACTTCAAGTCTGTCGAGTTCCGCAGCGACGTTTGCGCCAAGCTGAAGGAGCAATATGAAGTTGATACTACGGTTGACCTCAGTGCTGACTTCCCTTCCTCCGAAACTAGCTCAGCTGGTTCAGCCTCCCCGACACTACCTCCCGATGACCGTGTTGTGCTTGGATACACGCGGAACAATGCTGGCGGTCTTAAGGATGCCATCGATTTTCTGATTTCGCGTCTAGTGGCGCATGGACTTGATGCGAATACCATCAAAGGAGCTATTCCGCGTCCTAAATCCGACTCGTTTGAGGAATCTCTTCCGTTCTTCGACTCCAAGCTGTTGCAACATGCACCTGTCCCTCTTGTTACGGACTCTCCCACCAGACCCAACTTTTCCGACGAGACTAGTGAGCGTGGGTCGATTTTCGAAAGACTCCGTAAGCCTGGTAGCATCTCTTCGTTCTCGTCTTTCATCGGCCGCAAGAACCACTCCGCCTCTCCCGGCTCGTTCTTCAAACACGCCTCCAGCAACGCCTCCAAGGCCTCGCTGGTTTCCATGGAATCTCGGGATAGTGGCTACCGCAACCCATGGAATGATTCGGGCGTGAATCTTCCTGAGGATGATCTGCCCGTCCTGGGGAGCTCCCACAGCCACAGCAGCAGCAATGGCTGGCCAGCGCGCTTTGACACAAAATTTCCATTCGGTACCGCGCCGGGGGACATGACCCCTAAGCATGACCCCCGCGCGTCTTTTGATAGTGGTCGTCCTAGTACTTCCAATTCTACTTCTGGATACCCGGCCCCTATTGGGCCACCGCGTTAAAACAATGTCAATTTGCAGCACTATACCCCAAGACCTCATTTTTTTTTTTTATTTCTCTCATTTTTTTTAAGGTTTGCAATCAGCGGTTTTTTGTGCTTTTCTTGATACCATTCGGAACACGCAGTTAAAGATGGCGGGAAAATTCGGAAAAAAAGGGCATGACAGATGGCTGGGAAAGTGGATGACAGGGTCCATCCCAGCCGTCTTTCTACCGGGCTTTTGTTCTCTGATTTCTCTGTTTTCAGCAATGCTTTTTTTTTTTTTTTTCAAGTTATTACTCTCCTATCTTACAAACAGTGTGTGGGTCGGGAGCAGGAAGAGCACTGTGGGCTTTGGTATGGGAAAACACGGAGGCGGGAGCAATTTTCATTAAAACATTTATAAGATATGATACCAAGTGAAACGATGGTGTATGATGGTGTTACTCATTTCTGTTTCAAGTGATCTGTCGATTTCCCCCTCATCTCGGAGTTTCAGATCGGCTCTGTTCACTTGCTTAGGTTTTGGATCGTTCTATATACCTCGATGAACAAGATATCCCCAAGACTTGAGAGTAGAGAAGAATGCGAGAGTGTTGCTATCAAATTTTCTATCTATGATATATATATTTTTTCCTATGCAGTAGTCTTCGTGGGTACGCAACTTATTGCATGAAGTTATATGTGCGTATACATGGACTCCAGTATATCATAATATATAGAGTCAAGCGGACAAAAAACAAACAGGAGCAAGGAATTCACCAAGATTACCCATACCCTATCGACAAGAACTCTCCAAGCGGAGCTCTCTCCTATGTATCGAAGACGAGTTGAAACGGGTACCCTACATGTTGGTTCTCAAAGGCGTAAGCGAACCTGTAAATCTCACCCGTGTTATTCTTACTTCAGGTCGTATTACACCTACTTTTACGGATATTCCTTTCTCCCCCCAAGATGCTCCTAGGTTACGACGCGGATTTCACTACGACTGTAGCCGGCATTCTACCAGCTATAATAGTAGCCCCTAAGCCGACGGTGTATGAGATCGAGGCTCGATGGGAGGCTAACACTGCCTACTTTGCGGAGTCCTTCAAGGCGCTCCCTGAACCTTAGACATGAGATAAACAGTTCACGAGATAATGAGTTCACATGTTCACGTCTTATGGCGGTCAGACAGTGTCTATCCATCGCCTCTCACTCGAGAACAACCCACGTTTACAGCACCGGCGCCGGCTATCTTGCATATGCATGGCGGAGGCATGTTCCAGTTTGACGTGCACGAGCCCTCAGCTGGCAGGTACAGGACACCCACGCCAGGTCTTAGTAGAATATTGGGTAGCACTGGAGAAGCCTTACCCAGCGCCATCGGAGGGCTGCTACGCGGGCCTGAAGTGGTTACACGAGCATGCGGACTAGTTCGCCGTGGGCATGAGCGGCATCGCCACGACAGGCGAAAACTTGGTCGCTGCGTCGGCGTTACAGGCAAGATCGAGGCCCCTCTCTGTGCCTGCAGAAGCAGAATTTTCTATCTATCCGATGTTGGACGATCAGATGTTGGTGCCACAACCGGAATTATAGCCCCTGGTTGTGTGGAACACGGGTGATAGTATCACTGGTTGGACCGAGCTCTTGGGTAGAGATGTTGTCGGCTCGGATAAGGTCGAGGCCTATGCTGCGCCTACCCGTGCCCACTGCCCAGAGGGTTTGCCCCCGCTTATATCGATGTGGGCGAGTTGGATATCTTTTGGGTGAGGATATAGCCTTGGGTAAGGTTGCGAGGGTGAATATTAGTTTGCAGCTTCATGTTAATTCTGGCTTGCCATATGCTTTTGAGATTTCTGAGAGTTGGGCTGAGGTGTCACTGAGGTCTTTTGCTAATAGATTTAAGGCTATTGCCCGGTTGTAGGATAGGGTTAGTTGTAGATTAAGGTTAGGTGAATGAATGAATAAACGCTATCCAAGGCTTGGGGTAATTGATTGTTGCTGTGAGGTTGAGGATAAGCAAGGCGTCCTGGTGGTAGCTGACACCTTGTAACTCTTATGTTCAGGAAATTATTGCTTTTAGGCTACATGATAATCTCATGAAGGTTGGATAGTGTGATGTTGGCAATTGGTAAGATGGGTAGGTGTGACACCGGATTCGGGTGGATCACTCGAGATGGATACCATGACAGATTCCGGGGTGGCTATGCATGAACACTTAAAGCGCAGCTAGATCAGTGTTCTGCAGCCAGGCAGATGAATTCTGCAGGAGAAAGGCAGAAGAATTAAGAAAGAGAACTTCACAAGAAATAGCATGTACGGAAAGAAAATGGCCGACTGTGCCATTTTAGGAGCATCGCTGAGCCTTGTTCAGCAGGCTCGTGGTGTGATCGTGCAATTGATGGAGAGACGCCTCTCTAGTATACTCTGTACCCGAGGTGATATCTGGCAACTGAGAGCGAAGGTATTACGAGTCAAGAGATCGAGTAGCTTGAAACTTGGCATGGAGTCAAAGTATGGCTATGGCTCCTGCAAGGTGAGACGGCTGCCCATATCCGAGCAGTGCGGTGATCATTCGCGTAGGGGCTTAGAGCGGAGTGCATGGGTAGTGCACGCTGTCAGCCAACTTAGATTTTGACTGCCTAGAGTGGAAACCCGCAAATCCTCACCGTCCGTTGCGTCCTGGACTGCATCGTCGACACCGCACATGCGTGGACACAACGCGGAGGATGAGGCAATCCGGGACCTCCACCGGGGGGCGGAGCTGCGATGGAGACCAAAAATCTGCGGAGTGTCCCCCCTTTTCCGGGACCGATCCACGGAATGACACTGGCACGGGGGGACAGAACTTTGTTCCGAGTTCCAACTGTTGGAAGGATTTGTTGAGGGGGGCGGCTGTATGTCTCCAATAGTACTATAGTGCCTTGTCATACTTTAAACTTACAGTAGAAGGTTGATCAGTCCATCAAGCCAACAACTGCTGCTGCTAATGGGATCAGGCCGTGAGTTCGGAGATTATACAGGTGATCACCCTCCCCACGGCATCACCGGGAAGGAATTGTGATTGTAATTCATCAGAAGCATAAAGCATATTCTGGGATGGGATTATGGTGACGGTCTGAATTCGGCAGTGCTTGTGGCAAAGAGCATCATTAATTTGTCTCTCCAGCCACAGCGGAGCCGTGGCAAGGATTCAAAAACAGGCAGAAGAAAAATTAAAGCAAAAACGGATGGATCGTCAGGAACCGAGCCAGCGGACAAGTCGTAATCGCTACTGCGTCTGGTCTTGGGGCAGTGTTGGTGGGATCCCGACCGTGCGTCCAAAGGAGGCGCAGCAAAACCTGCAATTGGGAATGCTGCTATTGGACATATCCGGTATATAAGTTGGGAACGGAATCGTCTTCTAGATTGGATAGAATTTACCAGAACCACCTTGCAAGCAGAAAAAGACAGAGGTGATCGATTGTATATCAAAGAACGACTCCTGATTGTTTCCGTCGAAATTCCCAAAAGTGAAAGCGGTCTTGCCTTATCTCGTGACTTTATCAATAATCATTTGATTGTCCCGCCACCTTAAACTCTCCTGGTTGCATCTCTTCCTCTCTACTTCAATCTACCTCGCAAGACATACGCCGTTCTCTCTCAAATCTCAAACCAAACGTTGAAACCAGAAAAATGCCTGGACTTACCACATCTCCTCCGGGGTCAATGCCCGCCTCTCCCTCCTTCAGCGTCAACCGGGCATCTCGGTCATCTTCAGCATCCTCCCGACCAGCCCTCACGCTCGATCTCTCTAATCTTCCAACAATGTCTCAACCAACCAAGCCAACAAACACCCTCATCATCACCGAACTTAGCAACATCCTCTTCTTCCAACCCACCTCCCTCGCCACTTTTCGCGCACAAATCGAATCCATCGCGCCCCTGAACTCATTCTCTCCACTCCCCTCTCTCCGCCGCCTCATCTGCTCTTTCTACACAGAAGAAGACGCCCTGCGTGTCCGGAAACTCCTCGATGGAGAAGTACTTGAGCACAACGTCCGCCCCAGGGTTTACTTTGGCGAACCCACTCCAATCCTGGATGAAGAGGAGTCCCGCCGCCCAAAGCTCCTTGAGGCCCCCCATGCCGACAAGCTCTTCTTCATCAGCCCGCCACCCAGCCCCCCTCACGGATGGGTCATGCGCAATGAGGAGCCCCCGAACAAGGAGGTGCATGCCAGTGATCTCGCCACCGCCTTGGCCAAGTTGAAGACCGAGCAATCCGGTGTCTACGAGGGTGTCAACCAGACCTGTGAACCCGGTACTCCGATGTCCATGACCTCCGATAAGCGCTCGGGGAGCTGGCCCGTCTCTATGTCCGGACAGCGTAGCAGAAGCAGCACCCTTATCTACCACCCTGAGGACCACGGCGGAAGTCCTAACCTGCCTGCTGTTATGGTCGAAGATACGAGCATCATGGTGGACGATTTGGAAATGGAGATGAGTCCCATTGAGATGCCGATTCGGAAGGCCCCGCCGAAGACCTCTCGGCCTCCTGTTGAATTGATGTGTTGAATGCACGGGATTTGATACGTGGTCGTTATAACATTCATGAATACGTTTTGGGATGTGCTTTAGCGTGTGCATTTGGCTTGTTCTACCATCGTTGCATATTTTCATGGGTTTATATGTTTTTATCCAGGATGCATTGATGGTTTGTCTATCTCCTGTGCTTTATTGAATCATTGGCGGGGCGTTGTGGAGGACACTGTGATCATGACATATACGGAGTTGGCTTGCTTCTACTGCAATAATTTACATATACGTTTATGCCATATATAGGTTGAATTACATGTTTTCTTGCACACATTTTCCCCATGGAATCTTTCCTAAATGGATAGATAAGAGTGAATTCTAAAGGCGCTATTAGTCGAATAGTACGACGGCACTCTCCTTAACAGTTTTCGGACCCAACACTGCGGCAAGCTCAGCAATAATCCCTTTGACAGACTGGGGATTATCCATAGGCATCGTCTCCCATCCCACGAGATCCTGGGGCAGTACATGTCAGTATGAGGTCAACCGTGGGTAAAAACTCTCTGAGAGATGTACTTACAATCATATGCACAAAACTACCATGGACGAGGAGTAGCCAGTGATCCAAATCCAATGCCTTTACTTCCTCCAGAGACAGGACGCCAGGCATGCGCAGGTCGAAGAGAGATACCTCATCATCATTGATTTCGGCGTCGGCCTGTGTCCCAGCGGACTCTGGTGTGCCTTCCGCGACAATTCGGCGGTCACGCGAGAGCGAAACGTATGGACGTTCGTCTAGCTTCTTTGCCAGTTCGCCGTCAAGTGGATCCCATGTGTGGCTTTCAGGATCTGTACATATCAATATGACTGTTTGGTTTGTTGAAACTGGTGGTGGCCTTACCGAGGATATACTGTGGCCTGAACGATCCCTTGTAACGCATTTTCTGACAGGAGTGAATATAATAGCCTGTATAAGGGTTGTCAGCGATGGCCTGTGCCATAGGTCATAGATAGAGGCATAGGATGTCTTACCCATGTAGTAATACTGGTAGCTACCTTCAAAAGAGAGGGCAATTTCCCTTAGGGCGCTTAGTTTCCCGAATTCCCACTGTTCGTAGTCGGGATCATAGCTTTGGCTGTCAGTCGTTGCTCGAATGACCGCCGGAGTAAACGAAACTTACAAGATATATACGGAGCTCACACCATTCGGCATCAAGTCCAGGACCGCAACGGCTATGAGCTTCCCATCCAGGCGGTAGCACTGATGCCATGATCCTAGTTTCTTCTCAGTGGACTTGGGGTCAGCAGGGGAACGCTTTAGGCCCGAACAGAGGAACCGTTTGAAGTCCTTCTGCTGCCACGTGGAGACGTCTTCTTTGTGGACCTTGGTCTGGTACTTGAGGAAGAGCTCGTATCTTGGGTTATTAGTATGAGTGATATGGTCTGAAATTGGGTTGCACTTACTTTGCCTGAGATACAGAGTCCCCTTCTATGTTGACCTCAAATCGATGAGCAGGTTCCAAGTACTTCTTGGTCTTGGGATCAATGGGCCGCTTTACATTGCTGTATTCAGCTTCGTGAACGGCCGTGAGCAGATCGAAATTGCATTTCCGGTGCTTCTTTTCTCTAAAAACATATGAGATTATCCCCGTTCTCACTCTCGGGAAATAGTTGATGGACTTACTCCCTTGTTTTAGGGCACAGATACGCTGCCCTTCTGATGTATTCCGGTCCCAAGACGAACTTATTCCAACGATTGATTGCTTTGCGTTGGTCCTTCCTCGACTTGAAGGCTGTCGCCTCAAGTCTAATCAATAGATTAGTGGACCACAGCCGATGTCGGTTACTTTTGGTTGCCTTGTACATACCTCATCGTATAGTGCGGACAACATGATCTCTGCAGGTTCTGCTTGTAGTAAAGCGTCCCTGATCTGAAGTAAAAATTAGCGACCGGATGCCACGTACTGTCTCATCAAGCGAGTGATAGATACGTACCGTCTCCACCCACGATTGACGAGTTCCTCATAATGGACGGGGCGTACTGATACAGAGCTAGTATAGTACGACGCGCCTGCAGTGGATACATATTAGAAGGACTTTAGATGCACTGAATGGCCGAAGAACCATCCATTGTGAGAGGGAGGGAAGGGACATGTGCCAGTGAGACTCACTTCCATTGTCGGATTTACAGTAGCCACATGAGTTGCGCTGGTAACCTGTATGTTGAGATCAGCATAGGATTGTGGGGTTCCCATGTCCGTTAGTCATGGCGGACAGTCACTGATCGATCCAACGACGGCGGCAATGAAAGAAAAAGGAGTACAGGCATGCATTAGTTGTAAGGAAGCGCACTAATGAGGGACATGATCAAAGGATCACGATGGACCGTACGGGCGATGGCCAAGAAACCATCGCCGCGGAAGAGGGGCAGTAAAAGTGTCGCTGAGGGGCACAGAATATCGGTTTGGGTGCCGGGTTCAAGAAGGGTGGATGAGGGCCAATAATGATTGCACGGGGAAAGGGGGTATCATCTGACTGGCTGCTTACCAAGAGGTCGGAAAAGCGACAATTTCCTGGCTTGTTCGGCGTCAACGATGGATCCCATAGTTTCGATTAACAGTGGTGGATGGTGCGGTTATTATCGTCGGCGCTCAAGGCGGAAACACAAAGGTGAAATAATTAATGAGGGGTGGGATAATCAGAAAAGAAAAAGCCTTTTATCTTTTTGAGAGAAAACAAGGGAAGTTAAAAACCAACTTAGACGAGGTTTTAATCTATCTGCAAATGGGGTTCGGCGTCGAAGAAAACAGTAGGATGTTTAAGCTTGCGGTTAAAGAAGATTGATTATCAGTTTATCAGTTCGTATGCCTTTGGATACAAAAAGGAACATACATACGGTAATACCACTTTCGACCAGCATCAAGGGAAACAAACACACCGTCCCTCTCACGTCACAGATGTTGCTTCTGAGTATAAGGTTTGGGACAGCTCAGAAAACTGATATATACAGAATAAGCAGAATTATTCTGTGCAAAGATCGCAGATCACCAGGAGCAGCTGCCAAGCGCTGCAAATGACGTTCGTGATGCTTCTAGAAGAGGATCTGAGCGTGCAGAGCTCAAGTTGCCTCATTCCATTTTGCATAATCCTTGTTCACTAGGAAATTGTGTTTGTTGGGTAGTCTTGAAGGGGCCCATTTTATTTAATTATACTATACTCCATACTTATGTCAATATCAATGTAACATACATTCATTTCTCTTGATATATCAAAGCTCGCATTGTACTATACATAGGACTACCGAGCGAGTACGGTACATACAGTACCTATTAGGACTGGGACGTACCCCGTACAGTATACATTTACAGTACCTGAGCCTATAGAATGCGAAAAGATCCTGGAGATCTTACAACAGCGTGACTACTACCTAGGTATATGCACATCCCCTAGCCTGAGTGGCACCACCAATCTGGTATTGCTATTGTTAGTCATAGACTAGCTGACTTGCTTTGCCATTTTCAACCAGGTACAGATCAGTATGACCTGATGTCTACCTAAGGATAGATAGCTGTATGTACATTATCCAGGATATACTAGGTACAATACAGAAGGAGGCTATAGAGGTTGGTAATGAAAATTCCCGGTACGATACATACGATACGAAAGGAGGGTGTCCCTGACTCTGAAATGGGAAGTTGGCCAAGTGTCCCAATGGTCAATCCTTATTATTGATGGCCGTTGGAATGTTGCATTGCGACAATCCATTGAACCTTGTCTCAGCTGATCCATCATTCGGTTTCAAGTGGTTTCATTCAATCCAATTTACCATTTCAGAAGTGACCATGACATCACATGTCGAATTATCCCCAACGTCAGGTATGGACACAAAAGATCCGCACTAATTCAATAGCTAATTGCTGTGTTGTCACTTTACTATTCAATCGCCACCGTCATCTTTCCCAATCTGACCGAGTCACCCTTGAATACGATAGGCATACCTTCTTTGGTAGCCCGAAATCCTTCGTAGTTTTAGCCCGCACTATCTTAAGTAATCCTCCCCAACTTACCCCCCCGGCTATGATCTACAAATCCCCTATAGGTTCAACATAGGACATAAGGACATACACCTACATCATAGCCATTGACAGAATGTATGAGGTGAGGCAAGGTCTGATCAGAGTTTAACTTTGACATCTGAAAGGCAGTTTCTCTTCTTCTTTTCCCTGTTTCGTGTCTTCAACATAAAGTAAATGTAGAGAGCGGCAAGGACTGAATAATCGTTGTTTGAGCCCCGCATTGAGTTGGATCAGTCATTCTGTGATGTTAGTTTGGAAGACTAATAATGTATGCAGGCATGCTGGACGGTACCCAATAATCCCAAGGCTTGTCTGGATGACAAGGGGATGGGACTGCACATTAAAAGGAGAAGGAATAAAAAACTAGAATTAAATAAAGTAAAGAAGATGGCTATAATCACACTTACGCTTCCCAAGAATCCCGACAATTGACACGCTGATGCATCTCTCTAAGGGCACGTATAAAAAAAAAAGTATATGATACGATAACTGGCTCCTCACGTCTAGTACTGCATGCAATGTAGGGATATACTAGCATCCACAAAAAGGTAGGTATTGGTGCATCAGATGCGCACTCTGCTACCCAAGAAAAAGAGTGTAATCTTGAACCATGGACACAGGTTGCAAAGGACGCGTCCGTGCAACGAGGTCCCGAGGAGGTCGTGGGAATTCGGCCTGCTGCTTATTCTATGACCTCGTTCCACAAAGAAATCTATTACTTTGATTAGTACAACTAGTTGTCCTGATTATCACATACCTGTACCCATTTGCTGTCCAAAGTTGGTTAACTATGTGGATCGATCCTAATTCTGGGAGGAATCACGGTGATTAGTTATTTTTATTTGCAGTGTGTGTGACTAGTGGCCAGTTAATTGCTGGTACCAAAATGCGACGATGAGTGTGCTTTTTCCCTTTCCCTTTTCCTTTTCCTTTCTTTGGCTAGACGAGAGCATGCCATAAAAGGTTAATTTAGAGGAACTTATAGTTCCATCCTACCTTAAGTTTCGGCCAGTACTTTACTATCTAGGTATTAACCTAAGTCCATGAGTTAGTATACTACTCCCTCCCGAGAACATTCGAGTAACGAATGCGGCGCGCTTGTGGCGGCCATCGTCGTTTACTTCGTCAGACAAAGGGTTAAGTCCGATGGAGCCGGACAGAACTTAATCCAGTCCCTTTCTACATGACGAAGGACCTTTTTTATCCACTTGCACCGGATCTGAGAGAGCTCTTATGTGGCGCTTTTTGTATTGCATGTGCATGCATACATAGAAGCCTGTTTGTAACAATAGGCACTGGAAAAGAGCCGAGTTCCTGACAGAGTCTGAGTAGCATACCGGGTGTGTGTGATCATTTCACCAGCACTGTGGTACTCCCGAGTTCGCTCTCCCATTTGTGTGGTCCCTTGGGTGACCAAGAGGTTATTGTGGAACCGATGAGGTCCGCAATGCATCGGAAGACTCAGGAGTCAGTACCTCATTACTATGAAATGGAAACATGCTTACCTCACCTGTCGGTTTGTTTCTCTAAAGATCCCTGGGTACAATTAGTCGGTCCACTCCACAAGATCGCTACATTCCATACAACAATACAATACCTATGAGTTGACTGGGAAAAGGAGGGGAAAAAAAGGGAGTTAGGCCTTCTAAGAGAGGGAAAGGGAAAAAAAAAAAAGAAAAGAAAAAAAGGGAGTAGGAACTAGAAGTTTACTAAATTAAAGGAAAAGAAAAGAACATAATAATAATAATAATTAAAGAGAAGACTGGGGGTGGAATTTCCAGAATCAGACTCAAAATAAATTATAATACAATCAAGATAACTGGAGACGGGATTAAGGGGAGGCATACCGGAGGTCAGTATTGTCTCGGTAATACCAAGCATGCCCACCGCACACAAATGCGGACCAATCTGTTACCCATTGAGGCCGAATCATGGTACCGTACGTACCCGTAAGTACCGCCCAGCAAAGTCCGCTCCGGGCGAGAGAGAGCGACTCGTCCTGCCGGACCGCGCCGCCCATTATACTCCCAACCTAAGCTGTCTCTGATTCCCCGTTCTCTCGCCTCCCCCCTCCGTTCCTCCCATTTCCTGTCCCTCTATCCTTTTCTCTTATTTCTATGCTGCCCTCCTGATTACCATGTCTTCTTGTACCCTCACATCACCTTCGAGGTTCCCGTCCGCTGCGGGAGTGAACGGGGATACCTAGTTCCTGAAGCTTTTTTTTTTTTTTTCAATCCTTCCCCTCCAAAAAAATTCCCTACTTTTTTTTTTCTCGACCGCCTCACTTTCCAAGTTCCAGAGGTAGAAAAAAAAATTAGGGTCGACGGGTCCTGAACCAGCTTTCATTCACCAGTTCTGGTTCTTTTTTCTGGCTCAGAATATCCGACGTTTGAAGTTTAAAAAGTTCATCTCCGGACTTCTAATCCCATATACTTCGCCTCGTCATTGTGTCATTGACAACCTTCTCTTTGACTTTCCGCAAACCCTACACTCTTTTGGTTCCTTGTCGCGTGGACTGCAGCTCGCGCTGCACATCACAGATTCATCCAATCCCTCTATCTATAGCTTATCTAGCCCAGGTGGCGTAGAGGGTTCTTATTGTTTGACTCATTCTCTGTCTCTTGATCAAGATGGTGGATCAAACTCGGTCAATGGAGTCCCGGACAGGACGGAAAAACCAACGTGAGTGCTTGTCCCTGGAGCACGTGGGCTTAATTGTGCCCCTCTCCATACCCCGTTCGAACCATGCGCGTCACTTTGAATTCTATTCCCTCTTTGCTATCGTTGCCTATGTCGCGCATACCATTGCTAACGTGTATATCAACGATAGGGTACGGATCGAAAGGCGAACGTCTCGTGGCCGGTGTGGTTCCCTTGTCGACCGATAAATCACAGGTACTCATGATTCAATCTGCGGGTCGAGGTGGCTGGGTTCTTCCCAAAGGTGGATGGGAAACGGATGAAGAAACTGCCCAACAAGCCGCTTGCAGAGAGGCCTGGGAAGAGGGCGGCATAATCTGCACAGTGCTTAGAGATTTGGGAATGATCCCTGACATGCGCCCGTCTACTCTACTGACGTCGCATGCACCAAAGGCATCTTACCAATTCTTTGAGGTCACCGTTGACCGTGAAGAGGCGCAATGGCCAGAAATGCATAAACGAAAGCGTCAATGGGTCTCCTATGCGCAAGCCGCAGCTGCTCTTGCGAGCCGTCCAGAGCTCTTAGAGGCATTGAATCGCAGTTCCATGAAACGGTAGCGACTGCCTTACCTTGCCTGATCTTCCGTTCCCGGATCTGAATAGGCGAGGAACCTCTGGAATATCATCTTCGATCTCTTGGTCTTCCCGTTACGACTTGACGTGATTCTTTTCTTTCTCCCTGACAAAATATTTCCACATCGATTTACCTTCTTGCTTGCCTTCTCTTATCTGAACATCCTTTCTTGTAATGGTCGGCGGTGCTATTCTGGAGTTCGAGTTGTCATTACGTGCCTTGCTTGACATACCACTTGGCGACTCTGGAGGGTATGCGCGTGGCATCAGATTCACACACTCACCACTATAGAAATCATGACGATCCGTCGAATAGAGAGTTAGAAGCGCAGTGGACAGCGCTGGAGTGGACGGACGAAAAGTTGCAACTGGTGTTGCTTGAACATCATTCTATCGAATCCTACTCGTGGAGAGGATATTTGGTTATCTGGATACCAAAGTTTGCTTTTGACTCTGACATGGTTTAGCCATCTACTTACAGCCTTTTGTGGGGAAACCGCCTATGCGGTTAGGGCAACCGGTCTACTGGTGACATGGGTCTGCTTGTGCCTTTGTTGATGATCTGCCCCCCCTTTTTTTTTTTTTTCCCTGCAGAAATAGGAGTCAAGAAGAGAAGAAAACCCCACAAAAAAAAGATTATTCTCCAAACGACTCAGATGGTTGCGAGATTAACCAGCAAACCTATTCTTATTGACCACGTAGACACATGAGTAATCTCATTCGTATCAGCTAGCATATAGACATCAAACAGGCGAAGTAATAGACATAGATACTAGATAATATAACCTTGTTCGAACCATTCATTATCTGCGTCATCTGTTCTACCAGTAGTTTAAAGAGCGAATGAGGTCGTCGATTCT